AGTTATAAAAGAATTGATTTAGAAATTGACATTCTAGATCAGTTCCAAAAATAATTGACCTAAAATGTTATATTTAAATTGCTTTCCATAACCGATGTATAAAGTGACATTCTAAATCAGTTCCAAAAACAACTAATGTAGAAAGTTATATTTAATCTTTTTTACATTGGTTATGAAAGAAACGATGTAGAAAATATTTTCTATATTGGTTATTTAGCAATAGATCTAAAAGTTCTACAAATTTTAGCCTTTATAATTGTAAACTTTAAAGGGACGTAACTTTTTACACACAACTGTGATTTAAGCAAACTATATGTCTATTACATATAACTCCACAGTAGGTTTGGACCAAATTATTTTTCAAAATTCTAATATTTCGTCCATTTTTTTATAATTTTTTGTTTAGCTTAAATATGATTTTGGTGCTCACAATTAGTGAATTTTTTGTTTGTTCTTTTGAATGATTTTTTGTTTGTTTTAGTTTCAACTTTTTTTTTTTTATAAATTTTTGTTTTTAATCCTTAATTTGATGTGGTCAAATAAAAAACTAACACATGACAATATCTTAATGGAACAGATCAACATTAGGGGCCAAAAACAAAAACTTTATAAAAAAAGTAGGGCTAAAACAAAAAAAAAAATTGTTTAAGGGATTAAAATGAAAATATTTACTAAAATGTGAAGATCAAAAATATATTTAAGTCGTTTTATTTTTTAGGTGTTTATTCTCTATCATTTTTTGTAGGAAACAAGTGAATTAGGATATTTGATCTCATATTAATTAAAATTTAATTGATGTATTTTCTTAATATTCAAAAAATAACCCATCTAAAAAGACATGAATTCTACATTAATTTCAACTTAAACCATTGTAAAATATACTTTTCATATTGGTTCAACTTATGTAAATTGATGTAGAAGTACCTTTTACATAGGTTATTGATGTCACATATTTTATATTCATATTTATAATTCTGTTTTCATTCCTAAACACTTTTCATATACTTTATTTTTAGGGTTTTTATCATTTCTTAGTAATTGAAATAAATTGGGTTTGTTATACAAAAATGCTTTAATTTTGTATTTTCGGTGACCACTGACTACTCTTATAGTCATAATTTTTTTTAAAAAAATATTATTTTTGGCTGATTCTAATTGCATTTGATTCTGCATATTCAAAGCTTCAAAATACATATATGGATTGTTTGATTTGAAGTTATTTCTAATTTTCTATGATTTTTTGAAGTTAAGGCCGATATGCTGAATCTTATATACAAAATTACATTTTGACCCTTGTTTTTTAATATTTGAGCTTTTATATAAAATTGAGACTCGATTTTAGCCATTTGGTTTACCCTAATTAAAACCTATAAATAGACTAATGAGACTCTGAGTTGGTGTGTTATTTTAATTGGGCAATTTTATAATTTGAATTTTAGATTTGGATCTCACCTTTTTTTAGAATCCTTATTTCTCCTCTTTACAATTTTTCATCTTCTTCTTACTCACGCTTGGGTTAGTTTTTCAATGGAAGGCTTAACCTCTCATTCAATTTGTAAAGTCTAGATGCTGTAAATTCAATTTAAGTATTGGAACTAATTGCTCTGAGTTTGTTCTTCTTTTTTTTAATCTTATATTTGTGAATTATGATTATGATTAACATTTCTATGGATTGGAATTTAAATTAGAATTCTATTGATGTTCTAATTTGATGATTAAATTCGAGTTAGGTTAAATAATAATTTGATTTAATTCGTAATCTGGTTCAATTAGGTTATTTGATTGAATTAATAATTGGATTCAATAATTGTTCAAATTTGGATTAAAATCTTTAGATACTCTGATAATCAAAATTACATATATTTGTGAATATTTAGATTAATAATTCTTAATCTATTTTTTTCAAAATAATTATGTTCCTAATTTTAATTAAATTGATTGAAAATTACAAATCCCCCAAACTGTTAATCGTATAATTAAAGAACCTAAAATTGAATTTAATTGAATATTTGTCTTTGTGAATCTAACTAGATTATGCTCTATACTGCAAAAATTTTAGAGAAAAATTAGTTATTTTGGTATCAACTTGGCATCGTCTATAAGTTTATTTTGGCAACTAATCTTATTTTTTTATTATTTTAAAAATGTCACTACATTATTTCTTAGATTTGTTAATTATTAATCAATGTAGAAAAACATTTTTTTGTACTAGTGATGCATTTTCAAATGCATTACACCAACTATGCTCATGACATTTCTACCAAAATCTAATTGAGAATATCAAAAATTCTAAATTTATTGAAAATTTAAAATTTTCTAATTTATACAAACTTCACCTTGAAAGAGTTTGAATTAGAATGAAATAAAATTATTTACAAATATAGTCTTGCCAATGATCAATGGATGAATAAAATATATATAGGATAAAACAAGGTGGGCATAGGCTTTCATGCAAGATAATTTTTTTGTTTGCATTAGAGCTACATTATTGTGTGAAGGTATTAACTCATATATCAATTAGTACATATAATAAAAAAATTTGAATAATTTTGATAAGGCTGTCAAAGAATATAGATATAATGAATTGTTTTCTAACTACAAGTATATTTATTTGGATCCCATAACAACTTTACTCTATACAAAATTGAAGTTGAAGCTTGTAAAATTTTCACAATAAATAAAGACTAAACCTTCACTTTAGTCCTTGAGATAATAAATATTGGACATTTTAGTTCTAAATTTTTTTAAAATGTCATGTTATTCCTTGACTTTTGTCTTTATTTATCATTTTAGTCCTTCAAATCACACACCGTCAACACAGTAACAAAATGCTAACATGTTACATTAAGTGACATGTATGATTTGATTATTGATAGATATAAACCCTTTATCATCCAAAAGAATAAAAGAAATATTATAGCAAAACATAATTGTCATATAAATAATAAACCTAAGAATAAATTATCTTCAATAATACAAATAAAACACAAGTTCTTACGCAACTAAAAACAAATCCTTGTTGCCTTGATAGAAAACCACCATCTTATTTCATGGTGAAAAAGAAGATGATTTTGCCTCAGAAATAGAAATTTTGTTGTGTTAATGTTCCTAACTAGCCCTAAGTTGCAGAAACTCCATGTCAAAACTGTTTGTGGCTCGATCCAGTTGGTTTTAGAAGCAAAGAACCTAACATACATATCAACAAAAACATAATTAGTTATGGTGGAATCTTTATATAAGACCAGCAGATGGTGGCAATAAAGACATAGACGGTTTTTGACAATAGTAATTTCTGACAATGGTAGTGTTAGAAGGATGAAGAAGATGAAAAAAAATGAATAGATGAAATGTTTTAAGAATGAGTGATTAAAATATTTAACATGTGCCAATCTCAAGGATTAAAATGTCTGAAAAAATATACCCTATGATATACAACGTCGTTTGTACCATGCAATCTACTATACATGTCACATTTAGTGACATGTCAATATTTTAATACCATGTGTTGATGATATGTGATTTAAATGACTAAAATAATGGATGGAGATTAAAGTCAAATACTAATGTAATATTTTTAAAATTTTAAGAACTCAAATATTTAATGCTTACTATTTCATATACTAAAATGATAATTTAGTTAATAAATAAATTTTTACGCTATTTACATTGAAGTGTTAAGCTGACTTTCCATTAATCAGCTCAAAACTTAACATAAAAGAATTGATGGTAAGACTAAATTTAAATTTATAACTTTTTTAAAATTAAATCATAACAAATTATTTATAATATATCCAAATCCAACAAAGAGGGGGACCCGTTTGATAATTTATGAAACAAGCTGCGCCTATTGGAGTACATTACCGGCGAGCCAATAAGAGCCTAAACCATGCCTACTTGTACACATCCTTTAGTGGGTTGGGTTCTTCAAATCATGCATCAAATAAGATAGTTACCTTTTTCAAAATAAATAATATATTCTTGATTTTTTTATAAAGAATAATTTATTTATTAAAATAAATAAAATAAATATACATCATAAATTTATAATACTTTATATATAGCAATAATTCTCAAAAGAAATTATCAAACTAGTGACTCATACATTATATGAATTATATAGATAATAAATAAGTGCTTCATTAACATAAATCTCATAATAAATAAGGATATAAAAAGAATTTAACAATTAATGTATATAATTAGGACAAAAAATAATAATAGTTTTTTATTAAAAAAAACTGAAGGAAGTATGTTTTAAAATTTTGTTTTTAAAAGAAGAAAAAAAGTGATGTGGTTAAAAAGAATAACCCCTTCAATTAAGTGGCATGTCACATCCTATAGGCCCTTGCTAAGAAATTATCATCTAAAGTTCGGCAAATTTGGTGGAATTACTAAAATTCCAATTCAATGCAACTAAGCGTAGGGCTTATCACACAAGATTGTATGTTAAGTTACTAACTTCCCTACCAGGGTACAAAATTTTACAACTAAAAATAGCAATGTCAACTAATCCAGTTATCTTTTAGTCATTTTCACAGCACTTTTAGAATCACGGGTATGATTTTACTGTATGGCAAGAGAACCTTCCATTAATAAAGTGACAATGCGAGAAGTTATTACAAAATAAAGATGATCGAAACCTTGTCTTCAGCCAATGAAACCACACCCATCCTTGCGATTTTGGATTAAAGGCATGTTTGATTTAACTTATTTTGAGAAAAATAGTCACTTATTTTTGCCAAATTTCTGAAAAAAACTTTTAAAAATAAACAATTATTTCTTTAAAATTACTCAACTAAACATGTAAAAGGAAGACAAGGAAGCTCTAGGTAAAGGTTGCCTAGTCCTAACTAGATACTCAGAAGACCAAAATATGAATAAGAATACATAATGTTGAAGATAACCCCTAATATAAGCTCATTAAGGAAAGATACAGACGAATTAAAGCTCAGAATATTGAAAATTAGAAATAATGGACATATGAAGACATCGCAGTTGTTGTAAACATCCAATATCCATCGAATAAAATTGACGACACTTGATACAAATTGATCAAATGGTTGTTTCCACTTTATACACAAAATTAGAAAGCATATTTTGTTTCAGAAAAAGAAATGTGGCTAAGTTTAAGTACACACATATAAATAGTAAACTTTTGTCAACAATATCAATTCTCCTTCCATATATGACCATCATATGTGTAAACCATATACTTTTGGGCTTATTTGAAACTCATATTAAAACATTAGCTCTACAGGAATTCGGTCAGATGAAATAATCTGCATACTACCATCGACTGTCTCGATATTGGAGACTGTAACAACATAAATGCCTTTATTCCTATTTAAAGGAGAATCACAAGATATGGCTGCAAACTTGGTTGCAGCAACACCTAGAGCATATGAATTTTTTATCAGTTGAGGAGAGCTAGCAACACACTTTTTACTACATTCTTTCTAACACTCTTATTTATTAGCTGAAATTTATTAGAAACTACAAAAGCTTGAGTGACACTCTTTAAAATAAGAGTAGACTCATAATTTTTATAATTTCCAATAAACTTTTAGCTAATAATAAAATTTGTGTTTAAAACAGTGTGCTGACTTCTGATTGGTTTATAGCAGCAATTCTAAAAGGTGAGTCTATCAACAGACTGATGAATTGGCTACCTGATGCATGATGCATCTCAAGGGAAGACTACGGATTATATGATTCAAGCTCCTCAAATAATCTTTTGGCAGAATCCATTGCAGAAATTGCTAATGAAAGGGATGCAAAAGAAGAAGCTCCTTACACAAACAATCTTGAAAATTGATGAGGACTATGCTAGTTATTTTCTGTCTCCAGATGAGGTTGAGAGAACAAAACACTAGTTCTATCAGTTGCACTATAGGGGATTTCTAACTGAACTTATTCTCCTAACCCACCAGAAAAACTACCAAACCGCAGCATATCCTGCGGTGTAAAAGAAGCTACCTGGTTTCTGAACCGCTGTCTAAAACTCTCAATTCGAGGCGCATGGGGTCGAGCAGGAACTCTCAATTCAGTTTCATTCAGTTCCAACTGGCCACTGCTATCAACATTTGCATTGCCATAAATTGGGATAACACCTTCGTCAGTGACCTCTCCTTTACAAACTGGACATTCCTTTGCATTTGAATAAGCATATGGCAACTTATAAAAGCATGGCCAACAAAACAAGTGACCACAGCATGTCAAAACAGGATCTCTTGCCATGTCCAAGCATATATTACAATCAAACAAATTTCCAGCGCAACCCCCAGCCTCATCGGTATATGTTTCAACGCCTAATGCTTTACCAATCAAATAGGTAGCCTTGCGTTTCCCCCTTTTCCCACCTTCCACAATCTCTCTTTCAATATCAATACCAGCCTCTTCCTGGCTCACAATGCCTTCATCTTGAACATTAGCTGCTATCAATTCTCCTGCAAAGTTAGTTATCTGAATTGGAGCGTGACCCTGTCGCTGCCTCTGACGCTGCCTTGCCCTGAAAACTACTGCTTCTAGGCGTCTAATACGCTCTTCTATATTGCCCAAAGACTCCTGATTCAAATCAAGCTCCATTACAACCTCAATTGTATGCACAGATTTGTCCCATCAACAATGTATCAAGGCCCTAACACAAATCAAATCAAATCAATGTTGCATACCAATGATTGAATGAATACCAAAACATAAACAAGAGCACCACCAGACCCACATCATGATTCTTGCACGAGGCACAATGGAGTTGAATGTGGCACAATTCACCCTCCTTTACTCATGCTCATCAAACATTTCATACCCATAATTTGTTTTGCAACAATATCACATTTAAAGTGCCTTTGCTAACAACGGTAATATTTTCTTTTAAAAAAAAAAAAACCAAAATTCAGGCGTGCAGGATTAATCATCCTATATCAGAAAAAAAAAATGATGCAAAGAATGCATGGTGGATTAAAAAAAGAACAAAGTATAATAGACAAAAAACGCAAAAGAAAAAAAGATTAAAAAAAGAGCACAGGTATTACCTAAATACTGTTCATAAATGTTATTGTGGGGCAATAACCAATTGGGTGTCGCTTTAATCTTGAAAGAGAAAAAATTTGGTGAGAGTTTTCGGTGAATCGGTGATGAATGGGTTTCGAACTCAAATTATGTGATTCCTTCCCGAAACCAAAACGTTATGTTCTCTGGGGAACATTGGAAATGAAAGATACGTGTGGTAATCAGGGATACATCTTTTGGAATCGGTTCTTAACCTGAGAGACAGTTCTGCACTCTTGTGTGGATTCTAGGCACCGTTTCCAGTACATTCAAGTAAGGGGTTTGCTTCGGTACCTGCGAGGATATTTTATACTCTTTTTAATTTAAAATTATCATTCTTTTATAATTCTTTTAATGGCTTAAAGATTAAAAATGAAAGAATTTAATATCACTTTTTATACATGAAATAATTTTATTAGTTATAAAAGTATCATAAATTTTATCTTTAAGTAAACTTTATTTTTATAAATTTAAAAAAATATATTCTAAAATAATATATATAAATCAATAACTAGTTGAGTCAAACGAATATTGGAGATATTTTGAGTTATTTGAGAACAAAAGCAATAAAGTGTAGAAATAAAAAAATAACAACAAAACAAAGTGACGAATTTAGAAATGAATTGATATGTGAATGGAGTCAGGATTGATTTCACCTATTTATCAATTGCAAAATGAAAGTAGATCTGAACTCTAAGTTCCTTGATTGATTGATGATCAATTTCACTAGATTAATCAAAGGACAATTCCTTGTCTCTTTGATCCTAATATCTAACTAAACAACCCTAATTCCTTAGGTGTAATTCAGTCAAACATTGCATTAGGCATTAGAAATTAAGAGATCACAAGATCACAAATTATTATCCCTAAGATATCCATAACCTTGACATTCAATTCAGATATGATAAATTAACTCAACTTCCATTGATGAAAATCTTCTAGGTTCAATTCAATTGAATAACTAATTCAAGAATTGCATTAAGGAAAGAATTAAACATTCAATACAATCAAGATCTTAAAACCAGATCCACAATCAATTTACAATATCAAAATCGGATCCATCAATCTATAACAAAAAGAAATCATAACATGTTCTTAAAAAAAAAAAAAAGAGAAAGAGTAGAAGAAGAGAAGCTGCAAAAATTTCTTTATAAATTCAATCCCCAGCCTAATTTCTCAAGGTTCAGAGATTGGAAGTCACCCCCAATCTCCCTCTCTAACTCTCCTATGGTGTGGAAATGTAAAAATGAGTAAAAGATCCCAAGTTTCTGAGCTAATTTCATATTTATAGAATTTCTCGCCTTTCTAGCGTGGTTACTTTTATAACATAAAGTAACCATGCAGAAGCCTTTCTGGTAATCTTCATGACTGGAACGACCACTTTTATTGACAATAGTAGCAACACAGAGCTTGTTTTGCTTGAATACTCTCTGGAACAATCACTTTTATTCACAAAAGTAGCAATGCGCAGCTTGTTTTGGTCTTTACTCATGCGCGTGATCATTTTTCTAAAAAATAGTGATCACGCATAGCTTGTTGCCTTGTTTCAGACTTGCGTATGTTCACTTTACTGAAAAATAGTGATCACTCGCAGGTTAGTCCTTCCATTCAGACTTGCGCGTGTTCACTTTACTAAAAAATAGTGATCACAGGCAGCTTATTCCTTCCATTTAGACTTGCGCATGTTCACTTTACTAAAAAAAAGTGATCATGTGCAGCTTATTCCTCTTACTCTACTTCTGGAACAATCATTATTATTTGTAATAGTGATAACGCAAAGCCTTTATTCATGGACGTGGTTACTATTGTTGAAAAAAGTGTTAACGCACAAGTTAACTTCTGAACTTAAGCGCTAGAATGATCACTTTCCTCAGAAATAGTGATAACGCACAGGTTAGCTTTTAAGCTCAAGCTCTGGAATGATTACTTTCCTCAGAAATAGTGATAACGCCCAACACTTAGCTTCATTATTCTTTGTTCTTTGTCTCCAAAATTGCTACCTTCTTCTACTATTTCTCTTGATCCTCCAACCTTATGATCTCAGTTCAGAGTTTCCTGCAAAACTAACAAAGTTACATCAGAATTCTATCAAATTCACATAATTTGAATTACTAAAGACAACAATTTATTTTATTGAATATTTATATATTTTTGTGCAGTTTTCACTTTCTAAATTACATTTTCTATCAAAAACAATCTAGAAAATTATATAAAAACCTATTAAAATATGCATTCATCAAAGACCAATATTTCATCAATTCATAAAATTTTATTACATACTCTTTTACCCAAAGGGCCGCAACATTCTCGCTGCAGCAAGACCCTTTTTCGCTACAGCGAAAACACCATACAAATTGCAAATTGGTTTCTACATATTCTCGCTACAGAGAGACTGCACCAGAAAACACCCTCTCTTTGTTGTCCTCTCACTAAAGCGAGAACGCAACAGATGCACGTCTCTTGTTCAGGACCTTCTCGTTACAGTAAAAATACTCTCACTACAGCGAAAATGCCTCTACATTTCACCCTCAGCCTATATTTCCAATCTACTCTAGCCAATCCAAGTCAACACTCATATATATTTATTTATATATACATATTCATATATATATATATATATATATATATATATATATATATATATATATATATATATACACACACATACACATCCATATCACCATACAAATTAATATGCAATTCCAATTAACAATACACATACTTATAGTAATAATCAAAATATTATTACTAAATTTGGGGTGTTACATTACCTAGGTGCTAGCTTAAAAATGGGTGTTCCTCTGCATGTGAATACCTTTCATGCAATAAAATTAATTGAAAACATGTCCTTTTATATAATTTTTAAATCAATCATATTTTTTATTTTTTTCATTAAAGGGAAACATGTTCTCCCTTTTCTTTGCCTCAATTATGATTTAACTTTGGAACACTTTTGTTATTAAGTGATATTTATTATAAATAAGTAAAACTTTGTGTAATAACCAAATAATTTTTAAAAAATTATCATTCAATGTCTTATTTTCTTTTGAACTCAACATCATAATATTTAAGAGAATATAATTAGCAAAAGATGAGTGGGGTCGATTGAATTATTTTTACACCAAAGAAGTCAAAATATAATGTAAATGCTATTGAATATTATCTTCCTCATCTTATTTATTATTCCATATAATTGGATAACTAAAAATTTATATTCAAAAAATCATCATTGACAACAAAATCAAGGAAGAATAATTTATGAAGGTCTAAGTTTAACATATAAAAAGCTAAAATTTTTTATCAACAAGCCTTTAATTATTGTTTATAGCTTATAGGATTAATATTTGCAAATTTCAATATTATTCTTAATCAAGGTAGATTTTAGTTTAATTCAATGACATTAAAACTTTTGTCTAGCAACTTACATTCTAAATTATGATGAATTTTGTTTTAATATGTATTACTATTTGACGCAATGTAAACAATGAATTGAACGACTAATTTGACCCCTCAACTGGTTACTTAAATAGGTGATTAGTAATCAAATATGCATTTAAAATGATGATCTTTGGACATTCTTGTTTGATCAATTTTTAAAGAAGTTTTTATAGGAGAAAAAATTAATATAAAAAATAAATAAAGTTTTTTCCATAAGTTAAAAACAACTAATTCTTCTCTATTTTTTTTTAAAGTTCTAAGAACTTTTCTCATTTAGCTTTAATAAAATTTGAAAAGATAAATTATTTTTAAGTTATGAAAGAAATTTTGTTCATTTTGTATACTATTTTTCTTCTATAAGGACTTTGTTACAAATTTGCCAAAATTGAGCCATAAAAAACTAAACGTAATATCCTATAACTTTTTATTTTAGAATTATTAATTAAATAACTTTTACAATTTCAAAAAATAATATTTAAAGAATTTCAACCTATTGACGTGTATCAAGTGCACCTACTACTCCTATTATTATTATTATTTCAAATGGAGAATCGATCAACCATCACAAGAAATAAAGTTTAAATAAACTTTTAATCTAAAAAGGTATTTGTTATGTAAATGGATCTTCAACTTGAAAAAGAATGTTGATAAGAACCTTGAATAAATATAAAGTTCATTTAGTTGCCAACTAATTTTTGAAACAAAGGCTAGTTTTTTAAACAAATTTATGTTAACAATGCATTTTTTAATGGCCACTTAAGTGAAATTGTTCATATGGCACAACCCTTAAATTTTTTTAATGGTGATTTTAATGTTGTTTACAAAATTCACAAAATACTCTATGGGCTTAAACAAGCCCCTAGAGTTTGGTTTTTGCTAAGCAACACTCACCTTTTTTTCATTTGGCTTCAAATCTACCAAGTCTAATTGCTTTCTATTCATAAAATATACTTCTTATTCTTATATATGTTGATGACATCACAAGTGATTTAGATCATGGTCCTCCTCATTACTTCCTAAGCATTCAAGTTAATTGCACCTATGCTGGAAACATTCACTTCTCATAGACCAAGTATCTTACTAACCTTATAAAAAAGGTTTAGGTTGACAAAAACTAAATCAATGAGCGTATGTATGGTCTTTGATCTCAACCTGAGACTTGTAGGGTTTAGAAAAATGGACAATGAAACTACCATAAGGGTGGATAAGTCAAAGAAAAAATTTAGGTCCATGCTTCCAATTTCTAGTGAAAATCAAAATTCTCCAATCATAGAAACAAATACTAGTGATGATGAAAAAAAAAAAGAAAAAACCTTTAGACCTCTAGAAAATGTTTTTAATATGAAAGTTAGAGAGACTTTTGATTATGAAATTGCTAGAATGTTTTACTATTAAGGGTTATCATTTCATTTAGCAAGAAATTCTCACTATAGAACAATAATAATATAAGTGGGTATCAATCTTCTAGTTATAATAAATTAAGAATATGTTTTATTTTAAATGAAAATAAAACATGTGGCAATCCTATTACAACCAATTAAAACAATATATGGAGTCAAAATGGTTTGAGCATTGCTAGTGATGGTTGTAATCCTAAAAAAATAATCTTTCTAAATTTCATGGTTGTTGCAAAGAGTAGAGCCATATTTTTAAAGGCATTATATTATTCCAATGAAACAAAAGATTAATATTTCATAGTCAAACAAATAAGGGAGGCAAAAGGCCTTAAAATAGCTAAATGTTCTCTTACTTTTTCTATTGAGATGCTTCTTAGTATTTTTTTGATGAGGTTCATAATTGCTTAGCAAGTTATTTTCATAATTTTTTTTTGTTTTTTGGGTA